AGGAACCAGAAGAAAGGTAAAATCATCACTTTAGAAACTTAAAATACAAATTTTATGCAAAGGTCAGTTGACTACAGAGAAAGCAGAATAATAATTCCATGATGGTTTCAAGTACAGTACATGAAAAGTTATTTAGAAAGCTATTCTCATTGCTTTCAGATGAACTAGGGACAGGTCTGCCTTAAAATGGGTAAGGGATTAGGTTTTGCAAGGACTTTGCCTGGCAGGTTTAGTTCGTAATCTGTTTTAGTCCCTCTCCCTTTGCAATACATTGTATGAGTGTCCTGTGTAAATGGGAATTTATTAAATGTTTCTATTATAAAATAAATTATTGACAATGGGCTATTCTCTTTATTCAAATTTTTGGAAAACGTTTCTTTTCTTTTTTCTTTTTTGAGATGGTGTCTTGCCCTGTTGCCAGGCTGGAGTGCAGTGGCGCGATTTCGGCTGACTGCACCCTCCGCCTCCCAGGTTCAAGTGATTCTCCTGTCTCAGCCTCCCGAGTAGGTGGGACTACACGCACATATCTACATGCACATACTAGCAGTAGTAATAGTTATAGTTGCTTTTGTGACTGTGTTCATCTTATAGCCCCACATTCCCACTTTAACTGAATTGATTTAGGGATGTAAAGAGGTAGTGAGATTAGAGGACACAGGATTCAAAGTCAGGTTTATCTCACTAGGATTTATGCATTACACCATACTGTTGTGGGTTTGTGGAGGTTTTGTTTGTCTGTTTTAATTTTAGATTTTCTACATCCAGGCACTATGCATATAAGCACTTCATCTTTAAGGGAACAATTTTTCCTAATTGTATTTTGAAACAGTAAGGATATTTATTTTTTTCTGAAAACATACTGGTATGTTACCTAAAAGGCACATTTTATCCTTGATACATTTATTTGAATGCATTTATATCAGGGAGTCAGTTCAATGAGGTAGCTGCCTGACTGCTTGGCTAATTCTTCAGCCATTGGTCTAGGTATTTCTGGTTTCCTAGTTATTATGGAATGAGATAAAAATGTTGGCTTAGGGTAGCTTATTCTCTATGAATTGTATTTGTCAAGTGTAGTAAGAGTATGGATTATTTATGTGTTTCCTTTATATTGCTAGTATTGCCAATAATCTTCATGTCTTAACTAATGGTTCGTATTTTTACATATAAAATTTAATCTGATGTAATTTCATAAATACACTTATAGAAATAGAATATTGCTGTATAATTTCTAGTCACATCATATACCAATAGGTGTAATTAGTAATATAAATTTAGCAGGATCTGTTATTTAGTATTTGATTTTAGCCTGTGCTAAATCAAATCACATAAAATCATTTATGTCTAATTAATAAAAGGCTTTTTTACTTCAGGGAAATTTAAAATTGACAAGACAAATAGGAAAAAAGAAAACCACTGAAGTGTGAACCATTTTTCTTAGTACTATATATTAAAGGTATTAAAGATATTAGAATACTACTTTAAAATCATGTATCATTTATTGAGTATGCATAGGTTAGTTTTACATTATGCTTATAAGTAGTATGTGTTGAGATCCTATAGAAAGCATAGCAACATAGCAACACAACTAAAGCTGTGCTAGCCTTTAGGAATGCTGAAATATAAAAGTTCATTGATTCTAGGGAGCAACTATTCATTTTTGTTTGCTCAGAATTTGTCTGGTACATATAGAGGTCTGATTCATTTTAAATGCTGTAAATCAAATTAGATAGTAACATTTAGCAAAGTGTCTATTATCCACTTTGCAGACTGTAAAAGAGAAAAGTTGTATACTTATAGTATGTGGATAAGAACCACTTTACAACCTAATTTTTTTCTTGCATTATTCTCTTACTGTGAGTATCTATAGTGATGAGCAATGGCATTATTGGCACAGCTAGCCTTCAGAGTATTTGCTCACTTTATGCCAGCATGAAGTTTACACTGCCGTTAAAACCACTGCAATTTTTAGTTTTTTTATAAAGCTCTTTCTCATACATTCTTACTTCATCTTCACAACAACCCATTGAGAGGGCAAATGGAGTAGAGATTTGTCATTTCTACCTGCCAGCATTCCAAGGCCCTTTCTACGGGGGTGAGGCCCTTTCTACCTGGAGAGCCCCCAAGATAAAATGGGTGGATGGTAGTGTGTCCAGAATTGGTTCCTTCTGGTGGGGTTCTTGGTCTTATTGACTTCAAGAATGAAGCCAGGGACCCTCCCAGTGAGTGTTATAGTTCATAAAGGTAATGCAGATCCCAAGAGTAAGCAGCAGCAAGATTTACTGCAAAAGGCGAAAAAACAAAGCTTTCAGGCACCCGACCAGCTTGCAGCTGCTGGCGCCGGTGGCCCACTGTTATTCCCTTGTTTGCCGCCCCCCACCCCCCATCCTGCTGATTGGTTCATTTTACAGAGAGCTGATTGGTCCGTTTTACAGAGTACTGATTGGTCCATTTTACAGAGTGCTGATTGGTCCGTTTTTACAGAGTGCTGATTGGTGTGTTTACAAACCTTCAACTAGACACAGAGTGCTGATTGGTGCATTTACAGTCCTTGAGTTAGACAGAAAAGTTATTTAAGTCCCCACCCATCCCAGAAGCGCAGCCCGCTTCACCTCTCAGTAGAGTTCTACCTCCCAGTCCCTCTACTGAAATCAAAGGAGAGTGCACATCTCTTCCATTTCCTTGGCAGCCCAAGTGCTCTCATGTGATGGAGGCTCAGCCAATGAGATGATCCTGCCTGGGATTTTCCCTAGAAATGAGCAAATCAGAGCAGCTGAGGACAGTTTGGAGCCCATTCTCATGGAGGCAGTTTGCACTGTGCGTTGTCCCTTTGGCGGTAGAACCATCTGGAGATTTCAGGGCTATCAAAGGCAACATAAGTGTCTGGAGTAGACACCTTTGTTTCTGCTATTTTTTCTCATGGTTTGTTGGCCTTTCTTCTTGACATGGCTTGGCTGTGTCCCACCAAAAATCTCATCTTGAATTGTAATCCCCATAATCCCCACATGTCAAGAGAGAGACCAGGTGGAGGTAATTGAATCATGGGGGCAGTTTCCCCCATCCTGTTCTCACCATAGTGAGTGAGTTCTCATGAGATCTGATAGTTTTATAAGTATTTGGTAGTTCCTCCTGTGTTCATTGTCCCTCCTGCTGCCTTGTGAAGAAGGGGTTTGCTTCTCCTTTTGCCATGATTGTACGTTTCCTGAGGCCTCCCCAGCCATCTGAAAATGTGAGTCAATTAAACCTCTTTTCTTTCTAAATTACCCAGTTTCCGGCAATTCTGTATAGCAGCGAGAGAACAGACGAACATATCCCGCAACTAGCCATCTTATATATTCATATAGTACATCTCTCTCACATTTAACTTGAGTAGGTTGTGGTTTTTTGCAGCCCAGAACACAGGTGATTAGAACAATTATTGCTCTTCCCCACTTACAGATGAAGAAATTGAGCCTTACAGAGGTTAAGTAACTTGCTTTTAGTTATATAGAAAAGCCAAGCCTAAATTCTATGTCTTCTGGTTAACGGTTGTTCCTTTCACAGCACACCTTTTTCCCACATGTGTTTAGTGGCCTTTGCAGTGAGGTGTGCTTCCTTCCTTATGTATATCTCCTCCATTGCAGTGCTTACTCCTATTTCCTGTTATAATGCTTTTCTGTTTGACATCAGATTTGGTCTCCCTTACTAGACTGTTGAGCATCTTGGAAGACAAGGATTCTATTCTATTCATCTTTTTTCTCTCAAACATACTGGAGTGCCTGGGTGCATAACTTAGTACCAATAAAGATTTTAATGAATGAATGAGCAAATAAGTGCATAAATTACTCAATTAACTGAAAACACTGATATAGGTTCGAAGTTGGTGCTGTAAGATTGATTTCAAAAAAACACTACCTCTGTTCTTTACCAATCAAAATTTTGGGATATTTTAAATAAAGTGTTTTACCTTGAACATACAAAGGTGTTCACAGCTGGGTGCAGTGGCTCATGCCTGTAATCCCAGCACTTTGGGTGTCTGAGGAAGTGGATCACTTGAGGTCAGGAGTTTGAGATCAGCCTGGGCAAAATGGCAAAACCCCATCTCTACTAAAAATACAAAAATCAGCCAGACATGGTGGTACATGCCTGTAGTCTGAGCTACTCGGGAGGCTGAGGCATGAGAATTGCTCAAATCTAAGAGGCGGGAGGTATCAGTGAGCCAAGATTGCACCATTGCCCTCCAGTCTGGGCAACAGAGCGAGACTCTGTCTCAATAAAATGAAATAATAAAGATGGTCACTTAATAAACATTTATTCCATGATTATTATATGCTAGGTTTTAATTTGGGAATAAATAAGAATGATTCTCTTTTCAAAAAAGTGCTGCAGATGGGTGGGTGAAACAGATGATTCCATATCTCAGGTAATGGAGCTGTGGGCAAAAAAAAAAAGCTGTGGTAATCTGAAGAGTGAATAGAGCAGCAGGCCCACTGTTAGCAGCCATGGGAACCACTAGACTGGCACAGGGATACAGCTCTAGGCAGGATGCTGTGCACATCAAGGAAATAGCCATAATCCTTTGAAAGCTACAGAATAGCAGAACATGCTTTGCCTTTCCAGAATAGTGTGAGATGCCCCCACTACAAAAAAAAATTACCTGTACTCTTAACATACTTATTTTTTTAAAGATTATAATCAAGTCTGGTTATAAAAATTTGGATAATTTTAAAATTACGTACCACTTGGGAATAACACATAAGACTATATTTTGGTTTGGCACAAAGATGAGAATGAAGATTGATCTATATGTCTAAGCATTGAAGTCCAATACAACAGAAGGAACAAATATGTATATAGAGAGACACATAGATAGAAAACCATATATATATGTATGTGTCTATGTATGTACATATAAAATAGGATAAATATGTGTTAATATGATTATTAATATAATTTCCATTCTTCACAAATTATGTACACAGAAGAAATATTTAACTCCAAGAATGTTTTGGTATTGTTTGCAGACAATTACTACGGTACCCCAAAGCCGCCAGCAGAACCAGCACCATTATTGTTAAATGTAACAGACCAGATACTTCCAGGAGCCACTCCAAGTGCTGAAGGAAAAAGGAAGAGGAATAAATCAGTGAGCAACATGGAGAAAGCCAGTATAGAGCCTCCCGAGGAGGAAGAGGAAGAGAGGCCTGTGGTCAATGGAAATGGAGTAGTAGTAACACCAGGTTAGTCATTTACATTTTTTATGGGTTCATAAATCTACTGTTTTAGATCTAAGATATATATGTACACATAGATATATATATATAGATACATAGTAAGATATATATATACACACACATATGTATTTCTTACATCTATGTGTTCACATGTAAATTATTATAATTATCTTCAAAGAGAGAAGAATATGATATCAAATGGAAAGGACATGGAATTAAAGGAGTTGAAAGAATATACCAAAAAAATTTTTGTCGTATTCTTCCAACTACTTTAATTTTTTATTTCAATTATATAATATTAGTAGCAATATAGTGAATGATTGAAACCTCTGTAAGATATTACGAGTCTTATATATGGTTGTGTAAAGTTTTGAGGTCTTTGTTAATATTAGAGAAAATCTATTCTTAGAAATCTTGCTATGCTTGCAGTTCTGTCAGTAGAGGTTATGTCATGTGATTTAGTTTACAACTTCAATGAATACAATTTTCAAAATCTCTACAACTACAGAATGCCCATATATTTGTTTCTTTTTCCTTACCACCTGATCTGGAAACATGAAGAATATATCTTTATACATTAACAATTTGAAGCCACTACCCTTGAACAAGGAAAATAATAGCCGTGCCTTTGATTTATGATCATTATACCACATATGTAAAGAATTAGACACAAATAGGCCAGGCGCAGTGGCTCACGCTTGTAATCCCAGCACTTTGGGAGGCCAAGGTTGGCGGATCACAGTCAGGAGATCGAGACCATCCTCGCTAACACGGTGAAATCCTGTCTCTACTAAAAACACAAAAATATTAGCCAGGCGTGGTGGCGGGCACCTCTAATCCCAGCTACTCGGGAGGCTGAGGCAGGAGAATGGCGTGAATCTGGGAGGCGGAGCTTGTGGTGAGCCCAGATCATGCCACTGTACTCCAGCCTGGACAACAGAGCAAGACTCTGTCTCAAAAGAATTAGACACAAATATAAAATGTGCTTGTGCAAGGTATGGATTTGCATTTTTCTCATTCTTATTAATAGAGCATCAGAAATAGTTTTTAAAATAAAATTATTCATAAATATTACCAAAACAACAACAAAACTATGGCATTTTGGTAGCCTGTTGGAGTAAGTTACCAAAATTTCATTTTATTTTTTATTTTTTAATGGTAGCATAGCAGTGGGCATTGAAAAAATCTAAAGTCCATGTTTAAAGCTTTTAAAAAACTGTTAGCATGTGTAGCTTTCATACATACTATTCTTAAGATATTTCTTAGTACCACTTTGATGTCTATATTTTCATGTTTATTGTACTGTTTCTCTACTAATACAGTATTTGAATTTTCATGCTGTTACTTTTATCAAGGAAAAACTTCATAAGCTTACTTTTTATCTTCTTTTTTCAAAATGCATATGAAAGTGTTCTTCATTGAACATAATATGAACATAAGGAGATCAAAAATTGAATCTGTGCTAATCATGGTAGAAAACCTAAGGTGCTTTTATCTTGATTACTCAGAGGAGGGCAACCTCCTCCATTAATATATGTGAGTTAAAATATATCCACTGACTCTAGCATCATTGATTTCTAGATACAAATGCTAAAAATCACTATAAGTAATGTAACTTGTCTCCTATGAAATGATGTGGCAATTTTCAACCAATTAGATACCTTCCTCTTTTTTGATTCTGAAGTATCTGTGTCAAAATATTTGCTTTAAATTATGTAATTACATTTGAATTAAATCGATAGTACATAGTTTTCTTAGCTGATCTTTGATGTGAGAAGTCGAACAACTCAGCTGGGTTGAAGCAGTAACCAAAAAAGAAGCAGAGGCTGGGGTCAGATAACATTTGCAAAATTTCTTACTGTTTAACATCTTGTGGTTAAAAGTGTAAAAAGTATATTCCTGCTAAACCAGGATCACTGATCCCTATTTCATTTCTTATCTGCGTAGGGCAAATAAAATGAAACATTCTTGATCCACAGACTTTTAAACCAGAAACTTGTTTAATTATGGGGCTTACTGAATCTAGAAAGCAAAATTTCCTTCTATTCGTACCTTAAGCATACAGATGATGTGCTTTTATGGTTAAGAGGTCTTCATCACCCCCAGAGAAACTGGATAAAACTGAACTCTTCTTGATCAACCCTAGCCATATGACTGTCTCTGGATTCCTCAGCATGATGATAGTAGAGAAGAACTGTTAGCCAACTCTAGGTTTTCAAGACAGTCAATGGATGCTGCCAACAGTGGCTCTGTAAATAAGCCTGCTGGACAAGTGGCCCTTATACTATGCTTTTCTTTCCTGTTATGGGGAGACGAGAGATATACAAATCAGGCAGCCCTTCACCCACTGTTCAAAAATGAGCGGAACAGTCTTAAACCAAAGTATGGTCCATCATCCATTATTAGAAGTCCTTTGACAATCCTGGTCTTTGAAATGTCTTTGTTTTTCTTTATGTTTATTGAGTAGAGACTTTAGGAATTTCTTTGACCTCCTCTGATACACATTTTCCAACTCTTCACCTTTTGAACCTCATCACTTTTTTTTTTTTTTTTTTTTGGCACAGTGTCTCTGCCCTGTTTTCGTGTTCTTCACATTCTTCACATTCAGCAGATACAGGAGATTTCAAAGAAGACTGAGAAACATGTTCCTGGCCAGGGGTGGAGGCTCGTGCCTATAATTCCAGCACTTTGGGAGGTCGAGGCAGGTGGATCAATTTCATAGGAGTTTGAGACCAGCCTGGGCAACATGGCGAAACCCCATCTCTGCAAAACACACACACACACACAAATTAGCCAAGCATGGTGGCACACACCTGTAGTCCCAGGTTCTTGGGAGGCTGAGGTGGGAGAATCGCCTGAGCCCAAGGAGGTCAAGGTTGCAGTGAGCCATGATGGTGCCACTGCACTTCAGCCTGGGCAACAAAGTGAGACCTCATCTCAAACAAACAAAAAAAGAGAGAAAAAAACATGTCACTTAAATTTTAGTTAATACTGTCCTATATCAACTAACTATAGTAGTAATTTATCAGACTTCAATTCAGAGCATAAATATTATAATCAATAAGGTACATTTGGAGAATATAAAAGCATATTGAGGTAATATTGTTCCATTACAAAGGAATTTTGATAATAGTAATAAATAATGAAATAGTTCCCTTCTTTTTGAATGCTTACCATGTGTTAGGAGCAGCCTAACCTCATTATAGGTATTAGTTCATTTAACTATCTTAACTCTTCCATTAACTAGGTACTACTTTACAGATTAGGAAACTGAGATACTTTGGCTAGTAACTGGAGTTCATATATAGGAAATTTTGGTCCACAACCCGTATGTCTGGCTGCCATGCTATCCTGAGTCTTATATAACAAAATACAAGCATAAATATATTTCTTAGTGATATATAGAAATATAACCACTATTTTACCTGTATATCTTTCAAAGCGGTATTGTAAATTTCTAGTTACCAAAAACTTCATATTGCTTTTATTTCTTGAACTCATGTACAATGAACTTACATCCCTCTGTGGGTATAAAAAATTCCTAGTTTTTAAAATTCTGTGCATATATAAGCATCAAATCTACCAATATTTGGCTTCATATATACTTAACCAAAACTTTAATCAAGTAAAGGTTGTGATTCCTCGGTTTATATCTAATACCTATTTTTTTCATCTTTTCTCCTTTGAACTAGAGATTATACTTAAACTGCAGTTTTCTTTCTCCCAGATCTTATCTATATAAAGTCAATGACCACCTTTAGATATATAAGTTATCCAGTTCTGCTAACATTATCAGTGTTATCAAAATTCACATGACATGTGAATGTTTATTTTACTGAGTGTTCTTTCCTTCTGCTCAAAATTAGACCAGACACATAGAGTTAGCCCATGGCACCTAGGAAAACCATATAATGATTTTTCAGTGTCAGGACAGAAACATCTCTCTGTCGTACATTGCCTTGGTAATGGAAATCGATACAATTCTATCCTTAGATATATAGTTTTATCCTTGTCAATAATAAAAAATTAGAAAAATAAAAATAAATAATAATGGCCACTCTCCTCTAATGGATACAAACAATGGACCGGGCATATAATACATATATTAACTCTAGTCCCATAATAATTCTATACTTATTTTATGAATGAAATACTGAAATTTTGTAATTAAAGTAAAAGTATTTACTGGCAGAGTTGAGATTTGGATCTAGTAATACCTGAACTCATCCGCTCTCCAACACATTTCCCAGAACTGTTAACCATGCCAAGGACAAAGGGACTTCTGACCTCTCCAAAGTAAATTGCAATCCTGCAGCTTAGAGGATTTAGTCTACATTGTATTCCATTGTATTTGTCATTTACTAGACTCACAGCAGTGATGTTAGATTTAAAGACAAGTATGGTGCATCCTTACATCAGCTTACAGATTGTTTTTGAACTGATATTTAAAATTTATATCCCCTGGAAACCTTAACATCAACGTCACCTATATTTAGATATTTTCATCTTTCTGTTTATCTTGTTAGAGTTGATATCAGCCCCATGGCTTCAAATTCTATAGATTTATCTGCATCCTTCCCTGCTCTCCTGTGTTTAAGGTATATTTCTAACTAATGCCCACTGGACAGTATCACCTAAGCATTACTTCTGCAACTTAAATGCAATACGTTTCACTTAAACTCTTTGCCACAGAACGAACAAGCAAACCAATTCACGAAGCCCTTTACCTGATTTCTGTAATTCTACTTTTCACCCATATACCTCAGAATTATCTTTATGTTTCTTTTCCCCGGTCTTGGTATTGTTTATTAGGCACAAAAGGGCCTTTGGCTCCCGTCCTTTCCTTCGAAATATCACTGCACCATCCTAGAGCACTGCCTTATTAACTCATGTGTGGACTGTAGTTCCCTAACTGATCTGTATGCCTTGAGGATCCTTCCTGATCCAATTACCTTTTTTCCCACCATAGGTAAAAATTCCTGAACCAGAACTAGGTCATGGCAGGG